GAGAAAAGGTAAAGGATGGATAGTGTGAGGGAGAGAAAAGTAAAAGGATAGTGTGAAAGGAGAAAAGGTAAAAGATGGAAGAGAGAAAAGTGAAAGGATGGATAGTGTGAGGGAAGAAAAGGTAAAAGGATGGATAGTGTGAAGAGAGAAAAGGTAAAGATGGATAGTGTGAGAGAGAGAGAAAATAGTGTGAAGGAGGTAAAGGATGGATAGTGTGAAGAGAGAAAGGTAAAAGATGGATAGTGTGAAGAAGAGAAAAGGTAAAAGATGGATAGTGTGAGGAGAAAAAAGTAAAGATGGATAGTGAAGAGAGATGGTAAAGATGGATAGTGTGAGAGAGAGAAAAGGTAAAGGATGGATAGTGTGAAGGAGAGAAAAGATAAAGGATGGATAGTGTGAAGAGAGAAAAGTAAAGGATGGATAGTGTGAAGGGAGAAAAGTAAAGGATGGATAGTGTGAAGAGAGAAAGGAAAGGATAGTGTGAAGGAGAAAAGGTAAAGGATGGATAGTGTGAAGAGAGAAAAGGTAAAGGATGGATAGTGTGAAGAGAAAAGGGAAAGGATGGAAAGGAAAATGTAAATAGTGATAGTGTGAAGAGAGAAAAGGTAAAGGATGGATAGTGTGAAAGAGAGAAAAGGTAAAGATGGATAGTGTGAAAGAAAAGGTAAAAGATGGATAGTGTGAAGAGAGAAAAGTAAAAGATAGTGAAAAAGAAAATGTAAAAGAGATAGTGTGAAGAGAGAAAAGTAAAGATGGATAGTGTGAAGAGAGAAAAGTAAAAGGATGGATAGTGTGAAGAGAGAAAAGGTAAAGATGAGGAAAAAGTAAAAGATGGATATTGTAATAGAGATAAAGGTAAAAGATGGCATTCACTTGAAAAGGTAAAAGATTGATAGGACCCCGAAAAATTCACTGGATAGTATCGGCTCTCCATAAACCCCCCATGGATCACTATTAAGAGCTCTCCCCCGGACCCCGCATTCACTATATATATGTGTAAAAGAGAGAAAAGGTAAAAGATGGATCACTATATGAAGAGCTCTCCCCGGATGGATAGTGTAAGAGCATTCACTATAAGATAGGTGCTCTCCCCGGAGATGATATTCAAGATATCCAGGTCCCTCCATGGATAGTGTGAAAGAGCCGCATTCAAGGATGAATATTCTAAGAGATAGAAAATCAAAGATGGATAGTGCAACTAAGGTAAAAGATTATATCCCTCTCCCCGAGAGTGTGAAAGCATTCACAGTATATCAGTGTCTGAAGAGACCCCGCATTCAGGTTATCCGCTCTCCCCGGACCCCGCATTCACTATAATCCGCTCTGTGGACCCCCGCATTCACTATATCCGCTCCCCCGGGACCCCGCATTCACTATATCCCGCTCTCCCCGGACCCCGCATTCACTATATCCGCTCTCCCCGGACCCCGCATTTAAATATATATATCCGCTCTCCCCGGACCCCCGCATTCACTATATCCGCTCTCCCCCCGGACCCCGCATTCACTATATCCGCTCTCCCCGGACCCCGCATTCACTATATCCGCTCTCCCCGGACCCCGCATTCACTATATCCCTCTCCCCGGACCCCGCATTCACTATATCCGCTCTCACCCCCGGAAGGGGCATTCACTATATTCCGCTCTCCCCGGACCCCGCATATATCTAGTATCCGCTCTCCCCTGGACCCCGCATTCACTATATCCCCCTCTCTCCCTGACCCCTGCATTCAGATATCCGCTCTATCCCGGACCCCGCATTCACTGATATCCGCTCGCCCCGGACCCCGCATTCACTATATCCGCTCTCCCCCGGATACCCCGCATTCACTATATCCGCTCTCCCCGGACCCCGCATTCACTATATCCGCTCTCCCCGGACCCGCATTCACTATATCCGCTCTCCCCGGACCCGGACCCGCATTCACTATAGTCCCGCCTCTCCCCCGGACCCCGCATTCACTATATCCGCTCTCCCCGGACCCCGCATTCACTATATCCGCTCTCCCCGGACCCCGCGATTCACTATATCCCGCTCTCCCCGGGACCCCGCATTCACTAATATCCGCTCTCGCCCAGTGGAGAAAAGGTGATTAAAGCATTCACTATATCCGCTCTCTCCCCGACCCCGCATTCACTTATATATCCGCTCTCCTCTCCCCGGACCCCGCATTCACTATATCCGATCCGCTCTCCCCCGGACCCCGCATTCACTATATCCCGCTCTCCCCGAGACCCCGCATACTCACTATACCCCGCTCTCACTATATCCGCTCCCGGACCCCGCATTCACTATATCCGCTCTCTCCCCGGACCCCGCATTCACTATATCCGCTCTCCCCGGACCCCGCATTCACTAAATCCGCTCTCCCCGGACCCCGCATTCACTATATCCGCTCTCCCCGGACCCCGCATTCACTATATCCTCTCTCCCCGGAACCCCGCATTCACTATATCCGCTCTCCCCGGACCCCGCATTCACGGGTGGAATATGGCCGCTCTCCCCGGACCCCCGCATTCACTATATCCGCTCCTCCCCGAGACCCCGCATTCACTATGCCCGCATCTCCCCGGACCCCCATTCACTATATCCGCTCTCCCCGGACCCCGCATTCACTATATCCGCTCTCCCCCGGACCCCGCATTCACTATATCCGCTCTCCCCGGACCCCGGACCCCGCATTCACTATATATCCGCTCTCCCCCGGACCCGCATTCACTATATCCGCTCTCCCCGGACCCCGCATTCACTGTATCCCGCTCCCCCGGACCCCGCATTCACTATATCCCCTCTCCCCGGGACCCCGCATTCACTATATCCCTCTCCCCGGACCCCCGCATTCACTATATCCGCTCTCTCCCCCCCGGACCCCGCATTCACTATATCCGGGTCTCCCCGGACCCCGCATTCACTATATCCGCTCTCCCCGGACCCCGCTTCATTCACTATATCCTCTCTCCCCGGACCCCGCATTCACTATATCCGCTCTCCCGGACCTCAACCCCCGCATTCACTATATCCGCTCTCCCCGGACCCCGCATATCACTATATCCGCTCTCCCCGGGTACCCCGCATTCACTATATCCGCTCTCCCCGGACCCCGCATTTCACTATATCCCGCTCTCCCCGGACCCCGCATTCACTGTAATCCACGCTCTCCCCGGACCCCGCATTCACTATATCCGCTCTCCCCGGACCCCGCATTCACTATATCCGCTCTCCCCCGGACCCCGCATTCACTATAATCCGCTCTCCCCGGACCCCCGCATTCACTATATATCCGCTCCTCCCCGGACCCCGCATTCACTATATCCGCTCTAAACTAAATCGAATCCGCTGCGAATAACCCCGACCCCGCATATCACTATATCCCCCGCTCTCCCCCGACCCCGCATTCACTATATCCCGCTCTCCCCGGACCCCGCATTCACTATATCCGCTCTCCCCCGGACCCCGCATTCACTATATCCGCTCTCTGCTCTCCCCGGACCCCGCATTCACTATATCCGCTCTCCCCGGACCCCGCATTCACTATATCCGCTCTCCCCCCGGACCCCGCATTCACTATATCCGCTCTCCCCGGACCCCGCATTCACTATATCTCCGCTCTCCCCCCCGGACCCCGCATTCACTATATCCGCTCTCCCCAGAACCCCGCATTCACTATATCCGCTCTCTCCCCGGACCCCGCATTCACTGAAATAATCCGCAACTCCCGGACACCCCGCATTCACTATATCCGCTCTCCCCGGACCCCGCATTCACTATAATCCTCTCTCCCCGGACCCCGCAGTCACTATATCCGCTCTCCCCGGACCCCGCATTCACTATATCCTCTCGGTCCCGCGGACCCCGCATTCACTATATCCGCTCTCCCCGGACCCCGCATTCACTATATCCTGGCTCCCCCCGGAACCCCCGCATTCACTATATCCGCTCTCCCCGGACCCCGCATTCACTATATCCGCTCTCCCCGGAACCCCGCATTCACTATATCCCGCTCCGTCCCCGGGACCCCGCATTCACTATTTCCGCTCTCCTTCCCGAACCCCGCATTCACTATATATCCGCTCTCCCCCCCCGGACCCCGCATTCACTATATCCCTCACCCGCTCTCCCCCGGACCCCGCATTCACTATATCCGCTCTCTCTCCCGGACCCCGCATTCACTATATCCGCTCTCCCCGGACCCCGCATTCACTATATCCGCTCTCCCCGGACCCCGCATTCACTATATCCGCTCGCCCCTCCCCCGGACCCCGCATTCACTATATCCGCTCTCACCCGGACCCCGCATTCACTATATCCGCTCTCCCCGGACCCCGCATTCACTAATTATCCGCTCTCCCCGGACCCCGCATTCACTATATCTCCGCTCCCCCGGACCCCGCATTCACTCTATATCCCTCCCCCGGACCCCGCATTCACTATATCCGCTCTCCCCCCGGACCCCGCATTCACTATATCCGCTCTCCGCCCGGACCCCGCATTCACTATATCCCTCTCCCCGGACCCCGCATTCACTATATCCGCTCTCCCCGGACCCCGCATTCACTATATCCGCTCTCCCCGGACCCCGCATTCACTATATCCGCTCTCCCCGGACCCCGCATTCACTATATCCGCTCTCCCCGGACCCCCCCGCATTCACTATATCCGCTCTCCCCGGACCCCGCATTCACTATATCCGCTCTCCCCGACCCCGCATTCACTATATATCCGCTCTCCCCGGACCCCGCATTCACTATATCCGCTCTCCCCGGACCCCGCATTCACTATATCCGCTCTCCCCGCCCGACCCCGCATTCACTATATCCGCTCTCCCCGGACCCCGCATTCACTATATCCGCTCTCCCCCCGGACCCCGCATTCACTATATCCGCTCTCCCCGGACCCCGCATTCACTATATCCGCTCTCCCCGGACCCCGCATTCACTATATCCGCTCTCCCCGACCCCCGCATTCACTATATCCGCTCTCCCCCGGACCCCGCATTCACTATATCCGCTCTCCCCGGACCCCGCATTCACTATATCCGCTCTCCCCGGACCCCGCATTCACTATCCCGCTCTCCCCGGACCCCGCATTCACTATATCCGCTCTCCCCGGACCCCGCATTCACTATATCCGCTCTCCCCGGACCCCGCATTCACTATATCCGCTCCCAGACCCCTCATTCCGCTCTCCCCGGACCCCGCATTCACTATATCCGCTCTCCCCCGGACCCCGCATTCACTATATCCGCTCTCCCCGGACCCCGCATTCACTATATCCGCTCTCTCCCCGGACCCCGCATTCACTATATCCGCTCTCCCCGACCCCGCATTCACTATATCCGCTCCCCGCTCTCCCGCTACCCCGCATTCACTATATCCGCTCTCCCCGGAGACCCCGCATTCACTATATCCGCTCTCCCCGGACCCCGCATTCACTATATCCGCTCTCTCCCCGGACCCCGCATTCACTATATCCGCTCTCCCCGGACCCCGCATTCACTATATCCGCTCTCCCCGGACCCCGCATTCACTATATCCGCTCTCCCCGGACCCCCGCATTCACTATATCCGCTCTCCCCTATACCCGCATTCACTATATCCGCTCGTCCCCGGACCCCGCATTCACACTATATCGCTCTCCCCCCGGACCCCGCATTCACTATATCGCGCTCTCCCCCGGACCCCGCATTCACTATATCCGCTCTCCCCGGACCCCGCATTCACTATATCCGCTCTCCCCCGGACCCCGCATTCACTACTATCCGCTCTCCCCCGGACCCCGCATTCACTATATCCGCTCTCCCCGGACCCCGCATTCACTATATCCGCTCTCCCCCGGACCCCGCATTCACACTATATCCGCTCTCCCCCGACCCCGCATTCACTATATCCGCTCTCCCCCGGACCCCGCATTCACTATATCCGCTCTCCCCGGACCCCGCATTCACTATATCCGCTCTCCCCCGGACCCCGCATTCACTATATCCGCTCTCATCATAGGACCCGCATTCACTATATCCCCGCCCGGACCCCGCATTCACTATATCCGCTCTCCCCGGACCCCGCATTCACTATATCCGCTCTCCCCGGACCCCGCATTCACTATATCCTCCGCTCTCCCCCGGACCCGCGCATTCACTATATCCGCTCTCGATCCCCCCGGACCCCGCATTCACTATATCCGCTCTCCCCCGGACCCGCATTCACTATATCCGCTCTCCCCGGACCCCTGCATTCACTATATCCGCTCTCCCCCGGACCCCGCATTCACTATATCCGCTCTCCCCCGGACCCCGCATTCACTATATCCGCTCTCCCCCGGACCCCGCATTCACTATAATATCCGCTCTCACCCGGACCCGCATTCACTATATCCCGCTCTCCCCTCTCCCCGGCATTCCCCGCATTCCACTATACCCCGCATGTCACTATATCTCTCCCCCCGGACCCCGCATTCACTATATCGAACCGCTCTCCCCG